ATGTGGGGTGGGAGTGTGGGCCGTGGGAGGTAGGGGATGGGGGGGGCGAGATAGGGTTCGGGAGGGAGAGGGGGTAGTGGTGGGGTGTGTGGGCTGGGCTTGTCGGCTATTTAGGTGACGGTAATAGGGCGGGGTGCTGTCCTCCATGGCATCAAGAAAAGAATAGTTTGAGGGGGATTGTGGGGGTGCAAACGGAAAAGTAGACTCGTCAAATGTGACATGGCGTGACACTATTATTTTATGGGTGGTAAGATCCAAGCATCGATAACCACGCTGTGAGTCGGGATAGCCAAGAAAAATGCACCGCGCAGAACGGGGGGCTAATTTATGGGGGGTGGTGGCGGATAGATTTGGGTAACAGAGGCATCCGAAGACGCGTAGGTGGGTGTAGGATGGGGGTGTTTTATATAGGGCTTCATGGGGAGTATGGTTTTGGAGGGTGGTGGTGGGTAATATATTGAAGAGGTGAGTGGCCATATGAAGGGCTTCAACCTAGTATTGGGGAGGTAAATTTGCTTGGAAAAGGAGAGTGCGGACAGTGTTGTTTAAGGTGCGGATAGTGCGTTCTGCGCGGCCATTTTGTTAGCTGGTGTGGGGGCAGGAGAAGCGAAAGAGAATCCCCAACGACTCAAAGAAGGTGGCGAGAGGGTTGTTCCGATATTCTGTGCCATTATCACACTGGACATCTTTAATGGTTGTTTGGAATTGATTTTTGACCAATGCATGAAATTTAATCAGATGAGAATAGGCATCAGATTTGTGACGTAAAGGAAAGACCCATAAATAGTGCGAGAAATCATCAAGTAGAAGCATATAAAATTTAAAGCCAGTCACACTAGAAACAGGAGATTGCCATAAGTCTGTATGCATTAATTGAAAAGGAAACTGGGATACACGATTTGAAGAATAAAAAGGTAGGCGAACATGTTTGCCTAATTGACATGCATGACAGGGAAATTCTAACTTTGATTTATTATTGCTATCTAAGAAAGAAGAGATGCCACGGAGCACAGCTGGGCTTGGATGGCCAAGTCGGCGGTGCCAGGTAGGAAGGTCGACCTTTGTGAGGTGTGCTTGAGCTGGAGGGTGGGCGGATGAGATCGGGTAAAGGTGTCCGTCACTACTGGATCGATGAATCACGGCTCCCGTCAGTTTGTCCTTCACAGAGAAACCAGATGAGTCAAATTCAACTGAACAATTGTTATCACGAGTAAATTGACGGGCAGAGATTAGGTTGTGGATAATATGGGGTGAGACTAAGACATTATTAAGGGAAAGAGGGGGGTTGGTTTTGAGGAAACCGTTGCCAGTACCCGTTGTGCAAACCTTAGATCCATTGCCTACAATAATATGAGAGGGTGAATAAATGTTTGATGAAAATACATGAGATAAAGTACCTGGGTCAGTAGTGATGTGGTGGGAGGCACCGGTGTCCATGAGACAAGTGGAGTGTGGGTTTAGGGTAAGGGTTTCAAACCCATGGGCAAGGGCGGTGGGTGTGGTGTAGGTGGGTTGTGGGGATGGGTACGGGTGGGGTGTGGGTTGCGGGTAGCTTGGCTAGGGGTAGGTGGGTGGGTAGTGGGTGGGGGTGGATGGTGCGGGTGGGTAGTAGGAGTAGGGGGGGTGTTTGGGTATTGGGTGAAGTGGGCTTGGGCTGGGTAGTGGGTTGGACTGTAGTTGGGCCGAGGGCCCAACAGGCCGGGGGATGGGTTGGTGAACTGCCAAGGGTTTGGGCCGACGGGTTGGCGCTGATTTGGGCCACGTCCACGTCCACGTCCGCGTCCACGTCCGTTGCTGCCTCTGTTTTGACCGCCGTAGGAACCCCGTACAGAGCCGCCACTGGACTGCCGCGACTAGCCTTCGCCGGCTGTGTGGCTGCCTCCGCAGGTGCTAAGGAGGGCAGTCGGCGGCCCAGGGTTAGAGAGAGCGTCGTTTTGCTGCTGTTCCACCAGGAGGAGAGCCGAGCGAACCTCCAGGAATGTTGGGAAAGGATTTTGATACTGCAAGAAGTGCACTTGGCCCCGAATGTCTTGGGGCAAGCCTTGAAGAACCTGGAGAACGAGGGCATGTTCGGTCACCGGAGCATCCACATCGTCAAGGTAGTCCGCCAGATTTTTGAGGAGATGACAATAGTCGTTGATGGACCGATTTCCCTTGACAGTTGTCCGGAAACGGTGCTCCAACTGCATTGCCCGAGCATGTTTGTTGTCATGAAAGAGTTTGTGAATCGCCGTCCAGAGGGCATGAGCAGATGGACTGTTGGCGAGGACGAGATCCGAAACTTCATCGGAGACGGTGGATAGGATCCACCCTTGAAGAAGAGCATCGAATTGAAACCATTCCGTGTCGTCGGAGGATTTGGCTTTGGTGGTGCCTTCAAGAAAACCCATGAGATTGAAGCGGAGGACAAGGAGACGGAAGAGACGACTCCACTTCTTATAGTTGGGTTCTGAGATGCTGAGTTGGACAGGGATATGAAGCTTGATGTTGGAGATTGTAGTGAAGGCAAGGTGGGGAGGTTTGTTGTCGGTGGAGGAATCGACAGCCATGGTGGTGCCGGCGGCGAGGGAAACTGCCGAGAGAGGGAGAAAGCCGAGAGGGAGAGAGACGGCTGAGAGGGAGCCGGAAAAAGAATTAGGGTTTGAGGGGAGCTGTGATGGATTATGGCTTTGATACCATGAAGAATGAATAATTTCCAATGATTACAATGATGAGGTTACATGTGTATATATACAAGAGAGTTTCCTAGTTAGGGTAGGAAACATATATGGTAACCTATACACACAAGGCAACTACAATAATTACAATATTAAATATAATAACAATATATTTAACACTGAGATGTTAATTTGTGTTGTATTGTATAGTATTAAATGTAAGTTAGTAGAGTACAGTGTAGTTGTTCGACTTTTAGTTGTGTTGTTTAAACTTAGAAGAGTACGTAGTTGTTTTACTCTTGTATTTTTTAAGATGTACAAGTGGTGGATGCAAATGTTTACTTTTTTGGTTTATTTTGTTTTGTGTCATTTGAGTTTTGTGAATGCATTTGTGTTAGTTTGAGTTGTGTTGATGGCTTGAATTCTTGTGGTTGTTAATTCTGTATATTTTGCACAGAATTCTCTGCAAAGTTGAAATGTAGTGCATCGGGAGCAAACAAAATTGTCCTTTTGAAAAAATTAAGTTTTTGAATCGGTTATTTGGTAATAAATGATTCAAATGCCTAAGCTTTTGAATCGGTTATTACCAAATAACCGATTCAAAAGCCCCTTCCAAGAGAAGGGCTTTTGAATCGGTTATTTGGTAATAACTGATTCAAAAGCTTAGGCATTTGTATCGGTTATTACCAAATAACGGATTCAAATACTTCTTCCCAAAAATGGCGCCATTTCTGGGAAGGAGCTTTTGCATCGGTTCTTTGGTAATAACCGATTCAAAAAGCCTCTTCCCAGAATTGGCGCCATTTCTGGGGAGGGCTTTTGCATCAGTTTTAGCAACCTTTGGTTCAAGTAGTCGAACCTTTGGTTCAAGTGGTCGAACCAGTGGTTCACGCATATTTGAAAATTCAGTATATTTTTTTCTTAAAATGAAATTACTAAAGCAAAAAACAGATATAGAGTTTGCCTAAGGACCAACAAGCTGGAACCTAGTAAATTGAAAGTAAAAATACCAAAGCTAAAAATAGAAGACTTATACAATAAGGTAGTATCAATTTTGTTCGCCCAACACCACGTTTGCAGAAGCTTGTTTATAGATACCATAACCTCGTCCCGTTTCCAAACGCCTTGCGAGTATAGGATTGAGTTGTATCTCTTCCAAATGGACCAAATGATGATCCCCAACAATATAAATCTGATATAACCTTTAAAAGTGGTTCGGTTTGAAGACAACCAATAACCAAGCAGGGATTGAGCTACTGTCCATGAGCTGCCATTGACGGGTGCATCAGACTCTGCTGCATAAGTTCTCCAGAAATCCACCACCTCCTTGCAATTGATGAAAAGGTGATCTTCATCCATATCGTCTGCCATACAAAGAGGACAAAGAGTTGATCTGTGCACCTCCATCCGGCTGAGGTTCATGGGGAGAGGGCACATCCAAAGGATGATTCCAACCTTTCCAATCTGCCTTTTATCCCAAAAGTAAACATATGACAATTGTTTTGGGTGATATTATAGGTTAAGGAATACACCATAGTTAAAGTGACAGTGAGGAACAACCAAATTTGTAACCCCGTAGATGGCTTTCCATGTATAGGAATCATAACTTTGATATGTGTAATCACCGTCCCTAAATACTTGTCCCTCATATACCTACTCCAAATTGAATCCGTCTTATGAACTTTCCACCATAAATCAATTTGAGGCAGCTACCTGACATAGACTTAGATCCCTCAAACCCAGACCCCCTTCTTCAAAAGGCAAGTAGACCCTAGCCCATCTCCTCCAATGATATTTGTGACCATCATCCTTAGCCCCCCAGAAGAAGTTAGCCATCAAACCATAAAGACATTTGATAATAGATTTTGGAAAGGTTTGTGCAGCAACTATATGTAAAGGTATAGAGGAGAGCACATGTTTGATAAATATAAGCCTCCCCATTTGGTTTAGCTTTCTACTATACCAAGATGTGATCCTCTTTTCAAACTTCTCCACCAACTCCTTGTAGAGGGTCTTCCTATGCTTACCTATGACAATAGTGGAACCCAAATAAGTAAACTCTTTTTTGTTGCACTTGATGCCTAGAATTTTTTGTAATAGCCTTTTTCTGCTCAAGCCTCATCTTCTCATGCACAATGGCCTGACTTTTATTAAAATTTATAGCCTGCCCTAAAGCTTTCATAAAGGTGGACAGTATAGTCTTCACTCTCAATAGGTTCCTGTAATCTGCCTTAGTAAAAATAATAATATTATCTGCATAAAGGAGATGACTAGGAAGAGGGGTTCTGCTAAAAGAGGAGGAGATCCTGCCTATTGAGTGCTGATAATTCAAAAAACTGGTAAGACCCTCCAAAGCTATAATGAAAAGTAAAGGGATAAAGGATCACCCTCTTTAATTCCACACTTCATAGGAAAAAAACCCTTTGGCTGCCCATTAATAAGCATAGAAAAGAAGGTTGATTTAAGGTTTTCCATCAAGAGCTGAACCACTTAAAGCCAAACTTAACAAGCATTCCTTCCAGAAAATGCCAAGAAAGTTTATCAAATGCTTTAGACAAATCCAGCTTTAGTATACAATTTCCTCCTCTCACCTTTGCAGAAAGAAGATGTACCATTTTCTTAGCCATAAGGACATGCTCAATTATGCTTTTGCCCTGCTGGAAAAAGCAGTCTGCTCTTGAGAGATAATCTTCGGCAAAAGTTTTTTGAGTCTATCACTCAAAATTCTAGTTGATATCTTGCTAAAGAAAGTTGACAAAGAAATGGGTCTAAACTGCTCCAGAGTGATGGCAGACTCAGTTTTGGGGATAAGAGTAATCAATGTACTTCCAAAAACTCTTGGCATCTTAACCCCCATAAAGAATTCTTGGACTGCCTTGCAAACGTTATGTTTGATAGTATCCCAACATTGCCTATAAAAAATTCATTAAAACCAACACTACTAGCTGTGCTATTAGGATTCAAACTCCAAACAGTGTTTCTGATTTCCTCCTCCTCTAGAATTAAGCCATGAATATATTATCCTGATCAGTCATGACAGGATGTGTTTGACTTAGGATATACTCCATGTCCCCCACATAACTCCTTCCAAAAACCTTCTGAAAATGATCAATGGCTGCCCTAGAGATGCCATAGAGAGAGGAAGTAATACCATTTGAAGTTTTCAAAGATAAAATGTGAAGTCTTTTCCTTCTGCCCTTAACAAAAGCATGAAAGAAAGCTGTAGAAACATCACCCTGGGAAATCCATTTAATATTGGCTTTTTGAGCCCAAAAAGCCTCTTCCTTCTTATGAGCCTGTTGAAGAAGAGCTCCAGAAAGCTTAAACTCCATAAAGTTGGCCTCACAATCATCAAATTCAAAATCTGCCTCAGCCTTTTCAGCTCTAGTTTTAGCTTTGGACACCTCCTCAAAAATATTTCCAAATGTTTCTCTATTCTATTTAAGAAGGCTCTTCTTAAGATGGTGCAATTCATCAGCTAGACTCCTCATTCCACCTCCATCATATCTTTTGTCCCAAGAAGATTGCAGTAACTCCTGGAAAGTAGCATGAGAGCACCAGACATTTAAAAACCTAAAAGACTTTGGACAAGTTGATGGAAGATTTTGAAGTCTGAGTAAGATTGGAATATGGCCAGAGTTCTCTCTTCCCAGATGCCTAATTTCCATAGATTGAAACCAGTCCATGCAATCCTCATTAACCAAAACCCTATCCAACCTTCTACATCCAACCTTCTAAATATATAGGAATCTTAAGCCACAAAGTAATTTTAATCTGAAGAAAGATCTACCCATTATGTTATTTGGGAGCACTGATTAACCATTTGAATTATGTAATAGTATAAAGTTAATCGTTGAAGAATTGCAAAAAAATCTTCTCTCACGGAATTATAATATTAGAAAACAAAATCGTTAAGGTTACACAACCTAAGTTAATTATGTTCATTTCATATAGGATTACCCTTGAAGCTTCAAAAATTACAATTTTCAAAAGTTTTTGGTTTTTATAATTAAAAGTTAGGGCCAAACATTGTCATTTATAAGATTGTATTTTATCAAGTCAGTATTCACTAATGGTTAATTTAATATCGATGTTATACAAATTGATGTTTCACAAGTGAGAGCAGAAGTAGAGTTGAAATTATTAGCTTTAGATGTCTTTAGTAGTCTTTATAATATTATACAAAGATATTGTATACCTCAAATTTGTTTCAAATTATTCTAATTTAGCTAACAGTTTGATATGTTAATTTTCAAATGTATATGCTTTATCATTATTTTAACTTTTAAGGCCAATGTTTTATTTTGTTCGCTTTCTGAAGAATGTTGTACTCTGATTAAATTATGATTTGTTTTTAAATAAGTATGATTGGATGTTTTATTTTAAATTCTAGATAACTTATTATAATATTTCAAAACTAGATTAAAAAAATTTATCGTTGAGTTTGACAATAATTTTTAGAAAGAAGAAAATTTTGAACAAATATAGATTATTAGTTAATTTACAATATATTTTTTCAATAAAAAATTTAACTTAGTGCAGATTTAAAAAAGTAAATTTTTCTAAGGAAAAAAAGTAAAACTTTAATAATTATAAGTTTATGTTTAATATTATTCTCATACAAACAGAATATGTTTAAATTAGCCAAATATATAAATATAATGAACATAAAAATATTTAGGAAAAATATACAATTTTTTATCTTTTCCCTTATGTATAAAAATGAGACTCAGGTAATTAAGAAACTGACATGTGGCTTACTCATGAGCCCTTTTTTAACACTTAAAATGTCACATAAATTTTGATGTGGAAAATATGAAATTAAAATTTTGGTAGATATTTTTGAATAAATTTAAATATGGGAAAACAATCTTCCTTTTTATGATAATATCATTTCCAAATTCTATTTTTTCTCTTTGCTTATAACAAATAAAACACTCTCCTCACCTATAATTAAATTTTATATTTGTTTATTAGTTTACATGAAATTAGTTTGATTTTATTTATTTCAATATTGACAACTAATAAATAAAATAGTTTTTTTACCTATGAAAATTTTTTATATTTTTTTTGAAACCTTATATGTCGACTAATTTAACTTATATAAAACGTGAAATAAATATTTTGAGATTAAATATTTGAATAAGTATAATTATGGAATTTTTTTTTATGGTTCTCCCTCCATCCCCCATAGATCTTTCCATTAGCCCTTTTTATTTGTCTCACATATATCTTCTCATTATCTTTTTTAACATTTAAAATACCACAACTACCCTCACTTATTCTATTTATTACACATTTCTCACTTTATTTAATACACCCCACCCATTTTCATTAAAGGTATTTTGGTAAACTCTAACCTTTTTTCAACTCTCCTTAAAAATCATAAGAAATCAAAACGAGAAGATCTTAGGGGGACTAAGGGAGTAATATAGGATCACTAATTTTGTTTAATACAAAGGAGGAAAAAAATCAAAATTTATAAAAATCAATATAAGGGAGAAGAATTATATTTATGCGGTTAGATGAATCATTTTTTTCTAATCTAAACTAATCTGGGAGTGCAGGGAATCATTTTTTTGCTCATCAAAGCCGGTTGTATAAAAGTTGAATTTATGAATGAGAATAAATATCTAAGAATCTTAAGCCACAAAGTATTTTCAATTTGAAGAAAGATCTACTCATTATGTTATTTGGGAGCACTGATTAACCATTTAAATTATGTAATAGTATAAGGTTAATCGTTGAAGAATTGCAAAAAATCTTCTCCCGCATAATTATAATATTAGGAAACAAAGTTGTTAAGGTTACACAACCTAAGTCAATTATGTTCGTTAGTTTCATATAGGATTACCCTTGAAGCTTCAAAAATTACAATTTTCAAAAGTTTTTGGTTCATTATGATTATAATTAAAAGTTAGGGCCAAACATTGTCATTTATAGGATTGTATTTTATCAAGTCGGTATTCACTAATGGTTAATTTAAAATTGATGTTATACAAATTGATGTTTCAAAAGTGAGAGCAGAAGTAGAGTTGAAAGTATTAGCGCGCTTTAGATGTCTTTAGTTGTCTTTGTAACATTATACAAAATATTGTATACCTCAATTTTTTTTTCAAATTATTCTAATTTAGCTAACAGTTTGATATGTTAATTTTCAAATGTATATAGTAAAATTATAATTAGCAAATGTTACTCCCTCTGTCCACCATAGATCTTCCCAGACACTATTCACAGAGTCAAACTTTACTCACTTTGTTTGCTCATTTTTACTAGTCATTTCGTAAAATAATATAGTCTTGTCACCTCAAGTTTTGTAGAACTTTTCATGTAATTTATTACTATATAAATTTTATTTTAAAATTTTACTCATATAATCAATTAAGTTGAATTAAAAATAAAGTCGGTCAAGCCTCGTAATGCGTAATGGGAAGATCTTAGGTGGACAATGTTTTATTTTAAATTTTAAGGCCAATGTTTTATTTTGTTCGCTTTCTGAAAATGTTGTAGTAAAGAAAAATTACAAATTCCAAACAAAAAATTATTTAATCCGATGCGTG